ACAAAAAAAAAAAAAAAAGCAAATATGACAGGTTTATTAAATAACGAGGTAAACCAGGCGGTACCCAATCCGTCCGATGCTTCCGATCCGGTGAGAGCCCGGGTGAGCAACGGCAGTGGCCCAACGGTTTCTGGTGGCGCCACAATAAATCTGTCGCCCCCGAAAAAAAAAAAAAAAAAAAAACTACTACTACTACTAGTATTACTACTACTACTACTACTACTAGTATTACTACTACTACTACTACTACTAGTATTACTACTACTACTACTACTACTAGTATTACTACTACTACTACTACTACTACTACTACTACTAGTATTACTACTACTACTACTACTACTACTGCTTGTCACTGCTAAGAAAGCTAGTGAAGCGGGTTGTCTCGAAAGACTGCGCTCTTTTCCAATCGAGCACGTCTTTTAAGCACTATGGTGGCGCTGAATGCAGCGGTTTCGGCGCTGTAGGTTGAAGAGGGAGTAGTCAGACGAAAGGTAGGAGGTGGGTGGGCGGGTGGGTAGGTGGTGGCTGCGCCTAGCAAGTTAGAGACGCTACCCACTCTCCGAGAGTCCACACTCAGCCAGCATAAGCGCCCTACTATCGAAGGAGAGTGAGAGAGAGGGATAGAGAGAGAGAGAGAGAGAGAGAAAACAGCATCCGCACTATACGGTGTACGCGCCTAGCAAGCTAGAGACGCTACCGCCTCTCCGAGGGTCCACACTCAGCCAGCATAAGCGCCCTACTATCGAAGGAGAGCGAGAGAGAGAGAGAGAGAACGGCATCCACACTATACGACGAACGCGTTAGCAAGCTAGAGACGCTACCCCCTCTCCGAGGGCCCACACTCAGCCAGCATAAGCTTTCTAAGGAGAGCAAGAGAGAGAGAGAGAACAGCATCCACACTATACGGCGTACGCGCCTAGCAAGCTAGAGACGCTACCCCCTCTCCGAGAGTCCACACTCAGCCAGCATAAGCGCCCTACTATCGAAGGAGAGTGAGAGAGAGGGATAGAGAGAGAGAGGGATAGAGAGAGAGAGGGATAGAGAGAGAGAGAGAGAGAGAGAGAGAGAGAGAGAGAAAACAGCATCCGCACTATACGGTGTACGCGCCTAGCAAGCTAGAGACGCTACCGCCTCTCCGAGGGTCCACACTCAGCCAGCATAAGCGCCCTACTATCGAAGGAGAGCGAGAGAGAGAGGGATAGAGAGAGAGAGAGAGAGAGAGAGAGAGAGAGAGAGAGAGAGAGAGAGAAAGAGAGAGAGTGAAAACAGCATCCGCACTATACGGCGTACGCGCCTAGTAAGCTAAAGACGCTACCCCCTCTCCGAGGGTCCACACTCAGCCAGCATAAGCATATAGTTTACCAAACACCCTACCGACTTCTACAGCATCCTACCTTAACAACCTCTGTGGGTGGGTAGGTAGGTGAAGCGCCGTACTATCGAAGGAGAGCGAGGGGGGGTGCACTGGCCCCCTCGAAGGGGCCCACTGGTACGCGGGAGGTGTCGAACGAACATCAAATGTAACATTCAGCATGGGGTCTAACCTTATCGCGATTAAAAGGTGTCACTATCGCGACACCTTCATCGGGCGGCCTCTTTGTGTCCCAGAACATACACATATCCCTTATACATTGGCAGCGCGCGCGAGGTGTCAAACGAACATCAAATGCAACACTCAGCATGGGGTCTCACCTTATCGCGATTAAAAGGTGTCACTATCGCGACAACTTCATCAGGCGGCCTCTTTGTGTCCCAGAACATACACATATCCCTTATACATCGGCGGCGCGCGTGAGGTGTCAACCCAACATCAAATGCCCTTTAACACTCAGCATGGGCCCACTGGCACGCGGAAGGTGTCAAAGGTACATCAAATGCCTTTTAGACACTCACCATGGGGTCTGACCATAAATTAAAAGGTGTCACTACCTTCACACCTTCATCAGGCGGCTCCTTTGTGTCCCAGAACATACACGTATCCTTATACATTGGCGGCATCCTTTGTCGGCTCCTTTGTGTCCCGGAACATATATTGCTTATCTACTCGAGTGCTTCATTAAAATGATTTCATTGAAAAATGATTTCTATTTGTTATCGATTTTTTCAAATAGAACGAATATATTAAGAACATGCCAATCGACAAACAACTTGATTTTGAAACAAGAGAAGATTTTTCCATTATTATTACAGTCTACAATCCGATTGTACATTATGCAATTGTACAATAGAACTCAATTAGCGGTGACATTAAAAAGCTTGTTTAATATTATACGATTCCTAAATAAAATGTAAGAAATTACAGATGATTATAAATTAGAATAAGAATTCGGAATTAAAGAAATAGACATTTATTTATCCAAAGACATGTTTATTTATTTCATTTCTCAAAATTAATATTGTATCGTTAGAAAGAGCCAAAGGATGAGATGGTCTAGCGATATACTTTTTAAACGTATCTTTCACACTCGCTGTAGGGCAGTATGTACATGAAAACTATACTCTATCGCATATAGAGCAGCATGTACTATAACGTATAAAAACGCTGTATTTCTTATAATTGAATAATGTTTCGTGACTATGAATTCTAAATAAATAAAGAGAAGATTCGTATTGACAGAAATATTTATTTTCTTAATTCCACTTACGCAAAAGGTCTCAGTGATGCAAATATACAAGAAAAATGATGATGGAAATACAAATAAATGGCATTTTTTGGAGTTAACACGATTGGATCATTCAATTAATAGCAATAGAGGTTACAATATTAACGCTTAACGTTACCGAAATTTGCTTGAATAACTAGAAAAAATAGATCAAGAAGGAAAGACCATGCTACTTAATACAGCTATCTTACGATATAGCAACAATGTTATTAAATATTTGTAGCAGTATCTATTATCTTTTGGAAAAAATATTTGCTGATCAATAAAAGTTTATCGCCATGCTTCAACAGAAACAATATGAATATCTCATTTATTTTGACTTAGACATCAATAGTCATTTATAGTTATTACTCTTGTTAAAAGTATTTCAGTAATTTTTTTTTTCTGCAGCATTTTTCCACAGTTTTTTTATAGAATATAATCGAGATTGTTGGAGAAGATCAACATTAACAACTCCAAACCCAAAAAGGAAAATCTTTACGCAGTAATGCAAGCAGAAAACTTACATGAATATCAACGAGCAAACTCCTTTATTAGCCCTCCAATATTAATAAACTTCCAAATTTAGTAAACTTTGGAGTTATTAAAGGCTTATGTTCTAACAATCAACAGTCAAATCTTATCTCTATAATATATTAACTATATATATTAACTATAGAACATTACCCAATTCTAGTAAATTTTACTTCAATAATTAATGAAGACGTTTCTAGAGAAATACTAAATGATAAACTCATAACCAACGACATTGATAATGCTATAGAAAATTTTAACAATAACATCTATAAAGCTATCAATATTGTAACTCCTAAATACTCAATAAATCAAAAAACTGAAATACTTAGAGAATGCTCTACTACTAACATAGAGATATTATATCTGAACAAAATTTAAACTGTTTAATCTACTGATATAATTTTACTTGATACTAATTAATAAATTCGAACTACTGATTAATAATAAATTATTACAGCCATCATGGGCATATAGAATTTAACTCTGGATACTGCTACAAAATTAAATATTAATATCATTGAAAGATTCCAGAATAAGGCTTTGAGATTCATTACGAATGTACCGTAGTTTATTATAATTGAAATTATCAGAAAGGATAACGAGAAAGGATATCAACTATAAAGGAAGAAATAGAAACTGCTCGTAGAAAGAATATCAACCGATTAAACGAACATCATAATAAACTAGCAAAGAATATAATATATATAACTCCAAGAATATCAAGATTCAAAAAGTATAAAGCACCATATATTGAAATTAAAGTCAATTTTATAATATGAAAGTTATTTCACATTTTTCCTTTTTTGGTACAAATTATTAAAAAAGTATCCTTATGTAATAAATTTAAAAGCACAATGTACTCATCTTATAACACAGTTTGCTTATTGTCGTCAGACAGATTGTCAATATTATAACTTTCATTTTCAGCCGTGGATGGATTTGTAGTGAGGGCTTTATTAAAATTCCGTACGTTAATTAATCATACACTCTATATCAAACGAACCTTTGACCCGAGAAGGAATTGCTATCTTAGCCTTCTGGCATTCCAGCATCGAGAAAAGGAACAGTCGGAAGGATGTGTGGGGACTCGACCGACTGCTCCATCGGCCGCTAGCCGGCAGCACCAGCCTCGCCGGCGGAAACAGGCGCTCGAGTCGCGCATCTGCGCGACGACCGACCGAGGGGCGAAGATAGCGACAGTACGCACGCGGCTGAGTCTGTGCTCCCGTTTGTTCGCGTGTAATTAGCTTTGCCTGTACATATTAAATAAATATTTGTTACTCCACGTCCGGTGTTTTCTCTTCTCCGTTCCCCTCCTCGTATGGAACGCAATAGATGTTAAGTGATCAGTGGACGACATCAGCGGCGGGTTGAGTAAACAAAAAGGCGCAGAAAATCGAATCGAAACACTTTGGCCAATCTGCGCAGTCGAGGGATTCTGAATCGAATCCTCGACGATCATCGATATCCAAACCGGTGGTCTGGCACCTCTTAAAATTTAGTCGGGGAAACGAGTCACCCGAGCCTTGTGGCGGCGAGATTTTGTGCGCGTGACCTAAATCCCCCTCCACACTATATTATGATATTGATTCACATATTTGTGCTTATTACACTCGTTATATTTCTTATTAACCTAAGAGAAAGAGAAAGAGAGAGATATGGTCAGCGGTGAACATATTTTACATGAAAATTATTTTACAATAAATATGTGCTACATTACATAGATATAGTTTACAATTTAAAAAATAAAGAATAAATCACTGCACAAATTTTTTTTAAATGGTGATTTAATTTCAAAAACATATTTGTATTTTTCAGAAAATTGAGTTGCCCTTTTTAGCAGCAATGCAGATGACACTACATGACCGTTTCACAGATAATGTGGAAAATATCTATAAGTTAACAATCAAGTTCATCATTGAAACATTAATAGAAGGATTTGATGAAGCTCAAGCAAAAAACAAATGTACAGGCAATAAACTCTAAGATAAAGATTGATTTTTAGTCTTAAAAAATTGAATTGTTTGAGTAATTATTTAATGACAGTCAAGACTGGTTGTGGGACCTATTATATACTTGAAAATATAAAAGAGGATTTTTTAAACGAATGAATGTTTGCGCATTGATATATAAAAAGTATCAAAATATAAAGAATTTATATTCTATTTTTAAATATTTATTTATCTCATTATCTTTTAATTAAATTTAATTAAATAAAATATTGATAATGATATGAATTACGGTAGATAATGTAACTTACTATTCATATCATTAAAATTATCTAAAATTATAAGTATAGAATGATTTTATACAAATAGAATGAAAGTGTAATACGTGAAATTATTGATTGGTCACTTTTTTCGTTTACAACAGCTATTGTAATATGAAATTTTTATAAAGAAATTCCCTGGTATTCACGATTAATTTAATTTACGCATGTAACGAAATATCGAAATCGCGAATATAATATCGAGAATTTAATCTTGTAGAAAAAACACTTCGTTATATCTCTTAGGAGAGAAATTTGCAAAAATGAGATATAAAAATTTCAGATTTATTGTTCTTTTGAATTTTAATTTATGTAACAGAAGTCGATAAGGTATTTCTATATTGGTTGGCGTTGGATACCACTATAGATCTCTTTATAAAGATATTTGATAAGTTTGCACATGTGCTTTAATTGAAAACTCATCCGTATTGGATCGGGTATGAATGCTTCTTCCAGAACATCGAGAAGCCTAAAACAAAAATTTTGATATATCAGGGTTCTCGGTAGATGCTATTGCATTGAATTAGAATCGTGTTCAAAATATTGTTATAAAAATCCAATCCTATCAAAGAGTTTGAATAAAAATATTTATGAATATTATAAAATAAAACACTGCAGAATTTCTGTATACAGTTTAAATTCATTTGGAGTTGTTTGATTATATACTAAATAATATTCAATACAAATAATTATTTATTTATTCCACAATTCTCTACGCATAAAAAAACTTTTACTCTAAACATTGAATAATTTTTCCACCTAAAGATATTTTGTATATATTTTGAACAATTTCCTACAGTAATTAGAGTGGCTGTAACATTCTGAAAAAGGATAAAAAACTTAAATCATAAGCAATAAAACAATTTTCTTATCGTTTTTAGAGATTTATTTTTTCTCCACTAATCATCAAAAAGCAATCGAGACTAGGAAGCCGCTAGTGCAAGTGTCTGGTCGTTAACTCCAGAACAGTCCGATCTGATCTGTCTTTTTTTTCGCTTTTCACTGCGCAATAGCAACCCGCCACACATCCGAAAACTTAGGAAAAGCGCTATTCAAACTATGGCGCTATCTCACATATACGCTTGAATGTGTTAAAGCACTTGATCAAAATCAAGACCATATAAGAAGTGTGACATCACATGCTTGGGAAATTCATTATTTACCATTGCAAAATCAATAATTGCAAACTTTTCAAATGAATGAAAAAACTTTTTTAGTTAATTTCAATGCGCTAATCTCGAAATTCAGCTTATTATGATCATTCATAACGTATTAGTTAATTTAATTTAATTTGCAAATTAATATCACTAGTAATTTTGCAATAAATAAATATAATGTGAATTTGAATATAAAACAGCGATATTAACACCTTAAAAAAGAGAAGCAAGAATTTGACATTTTAATAACGATTTTTTTGACAGAGTTATTAATAAATAAACGATTTATAATTTATTTAAACATTTAAAATTACGTTGCGAGATAGAAATCCAACTGTATATACATGTAAAATTGATGAAAACGATTGCTATCCGATTGTTGATTTTATAATAGCAAAAAAGATAATTTACGAATTCAGTTAATCATTATTCAAATGCTGTTTGTTCAATTGGTGATTTTGTTCTTGGATAATGTTCTGTATATCATAACTGATTTTTTGGTCTAAAAAATTCTAATAATTTTATTCTAAATTTTATGTTACTCACTTAATTAACTTTAATGGTTTATAGCTTTGAGAGCATATTTTTTCTTAAGAAGCGATTTATCATATGAAAGTCAGCATTTTCAATTTAATTTTTTAAATCAACACTTTTTATCTTCGCGTGCGCGATTTCGCGACAAAGCTTGCTTAAAGCTTGTGCAAGTTGTCGAAAATAGAGTTGTAGGGACTACCAAGCATTAAAAGAAGCCTCTTTCACAAGTATAAATTCGCTCGTCGCTGCGGCAAGGAGGTACGTCGAATCCTATTTTATCTAACAGCGTGAGCACTGTTTATATGGAAATAAAGATTCCGCCATTTTCTGAAATCGATTTTCATTATTCAGTAGTTAGCCTTGCTACTATCCTCTCCTACATTGTCTTAAAGTTCAACTTACAAGACCTTCTCCCTTATGAGAAAAAAGAGCCTTAAACTATCTTCTCTCCTTATCATATTAATATAGTCTAGAGATGTTATGGTGCTATCTGGCCTTTTCCTGATAGATTCAGCGATACTTAGCTGCATTTCAGACAGCACGTCGAAGTAGCGAACTGTATAGATTAATACCATGTTCGCTGCTTGATGATTGACTTTAATAAAGATTCTTGAAATACACAAATAACTATTACTTCTATCATTTCGAGTATCTAATAATATATGTCAACTTCTCGCTTGTTGTTGGAAATGCGATTTGCAAATATATCTTAGAGTCCGAATTCAATTAATTATAACGTAGTATAAGTCAAAACGTAACACAAGCCTTTTACAAAAGTTTTCCCACAATTAATAGCAAAGACAAATGAAATCAGCATATGACGCGAAAAGCGAAATTAACACACGATCATGAGCTAGACGTAAACTGATCCGATTACTCATTAACGTTGGTAAGGGTGGAATATATTTTTTAATCGCTCTTTCTATGGATGAATTGAATATAGATTTTATAGGTTTCTTAATATAGTGTATAATACTTTTTAATGTAGCTATGTTTATGCCATCTACTCCTCCAGCTTTATTTTTCATTTTCATAACGATTTGCTGAACTTCCTCACTATTTGTCTTTTAAATAGATTAATAGATGGCTTATTTCCTTTTGGGAAATGCAACTTTTCATTATTTGGGTTTTTGATTTTGATACTAAGATCTGATTTACTATTACTCTGATTTTCCGTTTTTAAGAGAAATGCGAAAAAAATCGGGCGTTTGGACAGCACGCAATATGCATTGAACATTTTTCTCCTGTTTAAAAAGAAATAATATCGATAGTGGATGATAGCTCCTTATTCCCGCATTAGGAAACAGTTTTCCTTTTGTCGATTTTCTATCCAAAATTGAGGAAAATGTAAAGATTAGTAATATGCGGCAGTTAGTCGACAAAACAGGTCAAACATTTGATAATCACCAGATATCCCTATGAGTTCTACAGTGCGTACAGTGCTAAAATTGTTTTTCACTATAGCTCACGAACAAAAATCGATAAACCGATAAATCAGATCTAGATTATTTATTTTTGCTTAATATTAGATAAAATTACAAAAAATAGACGCTGCCTTACTTGTAAAGATATTGCATTCTGTATAATAATTTAGATGTATACAAAACTAATACAGCCACACTGCTAGACGACACAGATAGTACTGTACGCACTGTAGAACTCATAGGGATATCTGGTGATTAGCAAATGTTTGACCTGTTTTGTCGACTAACTGCCGCGTATTACTCATCTTTACATTTTCCTCAATTTTGGATAGAAAATCGACAAAAGAAAAATTGTTTCGTAATCTGGTAATAAGGAGATATTATCCGCTATCGATATTATTTCTTTTTAAACAGGAGAAAGATGTTCAATGCGCGCTGTCCGAACATCCGATTTTTTTTCGCAATTCTCTTAAAAACGGAAAATCTTGAAATAAAATTTCAAGCGGAGACTTAATCCGAAAATAGGGAGAAAAAGTTTTAGCTCATGAAAACTCAAAAATATTTAAAAAAAAATTTTTTGAGCGTCAGCTTCACAAGTCTTGTTTTTGCACCCTTCTATTTCACAATGCATATTGCAGGAATCTATAAAACCGTAAGTAACAGGACTGTTAACATTTTCTGATTTTTCAGTAATGTAACCACTCCTGAACCAGATGTATTCAAAAAGATTGATATATCTTGGTCAAGATATTTGATTGTGGACTGATGACTGAAGTGTAGACGAAGATGGAAAAAATATGCAATACAAAATTTTGCTTACTTTCTTTTATTTGTAGCCTTCGTGGTTGTAAGGTACTATAAATTGCACAGCGTAAGAATCATCGAATCATTCACGTTAAATGATTTTCATTTTTCGAAAGATGAATAGTACCAATCATTCAAGTCGAAAACTTTGAGACCATATCGTTCTAACTACTATTTTTTCAGGTCTCTGGAAACGAAAATTTTTGTGGTATCTTTGAGTGTATCTGTAATGATTAATTTATGCTCTTCGTAATTAAAATCCCTAGAGGTCGATGTTAAACCATGATAGCAGAGTTCTAATTAGAGATTTTATCTTTTATATTTCTCCGATAGTCTTTGCCATGAGAAGGGAGGTTGGAACAAGCGTACGAGTGGTTTTTCGTTGTAGTTAAGCGAAAGTATCGCTAAATCTTTCACAGTATATGTATTGCCAGATATCATGAAGCCTTGCATATTCACTATGTACTCCATTGTGATAGAAAGCTAATACTGAGCTACTTAAGGAAAAAGTCAATTCTTTAATACCCCTCTCTAGATGTGAAGAAATAAATAAATTTCTTTACATCTCCATTTATCGGATTATACTGAACGACGCAATTGTATAGAATAAGATTATATGCTGTAAATAATAGCTGTAGTCAATCGCTATTAGAGGTATGTAATTTTTATATTCGAGTTTTTTGAGCATCGGTTCGGAATCTTTACCGTAGTATATGTTTTGAAAATTGGCAAATATATCGTATAACATAGTGTATTGGTTTTTACTGAAATCAATGTTGAGATTGCCATATGGATAACACTTAAAGTTGAGGTACAGTTTTACATTTCTGATGTTACAATGATCAAATATACTAGCGATAGAGTTTAGTTAATTTTTTCGATTAATTTAGAAGGCTAAGATGACGTAGCGTGGTTTCTCCAACTGATTTGTCGTTTTAAC